CCTCATTCTAATGATTCGAGTCACATGGACACGCATGGCTGAAACCACTCTCATTTCGCTTGCAGTTCACAATCATTAGAAATCCAATCTGCATATTAAGACATGGAGGCACCAGTTCTATTGACATTTCCGCGCTTTTTACTTCACCATATTAAGGTTTCATGCACACATGCTGGACTACAATTTTACTATAAGGTCGCTCACCCATTTCGTGTATTTCCACGAAATAGATTTTTCTCGTACAGTCGTTTTAAACTTGGGGGGGGAGGGTAGCTGAACTCTTTCCACGCTTTCTCATAAAGTCTCTTTTTGCGCCTTCTTTCTTAGTTCACGGTGAATTTCCAAAGATTGATAAATACTTTGCTCAAAGGCCGAAAGACCGGTGGATGTGGTGCAGTCTGTCCACCATATTACTAATCGCTGCTGCATGTATGGCCGCTCTCGTAGAGTATTAGTTTGCAAAATATCGTTAATTTAACTCGGTATAATGCCTGGTCTGACACTGGCAACTGTATGCTCTAAATAGAAACGTGTACTTATTGTTTATATGTATGCAGTAAGTATGCAGGTCCGTGTACCACACATCGCGGGCAGGTTTTGCAACAGCAAATAAAAATTCAACTTCAGATGAAATTCATATTTTCTGCTGCAGCCGATGACGAAAATTGATAAATGTCTTTAAAAAATTCTTCTCATATACCCAAATATTGACTCATAGTTGATTTTTTGTTTGAATGAATGTTTTGAAGCCCGATCTCCTTAAACTTACGGATGGCTTGTTTCTATTGTTGTAGAGATGAGACGGATTCTTCGTAGTTGCACACTTTCCTACTCTCCGCTTTTCCTACCTTGCGGTCTTGGTATTATTTCCCTTTCAGTACTTACTTGAAAAGTCCCTTTTAAGGCTCCTTACGGTGTTATTTGCTCGTGTTTGCGGTTATCGACTAATGAGACTACGTCAAATAATGTTGAGGCAAAAGGTTAAATTGTTTTCATTATCATTTGGTAGTTATTCCCAAAATAAAAACTCCCCTAAAATACAATGATTCGGTAAAGTCAGTGAAGTTCATCACTCCCCTTCGAGCTATGAATGAATATGTGCTCTCCCCTTCGTAGGTTTGTTTTTTTTTAAAAACTCTTCAGTGATCTCGAGGCACTTCCTAGATATTACAGTAGAAGCCCTTACTCTAATGAAGTCCGGACTCAAGTCTTTCTGCGTTCAGATATAGAAAAAGTGTATGTTTTCATCCAACGTTTTAGTTTTTAGAGCCCTCGAAAAGCATGGAGGGCAGCAAGCCCTCGATCTCCGGAGGAAATTAATGAAAGATTTGGAAAGCAGGGCTAGAATGGGTACTGACTATTTTTTCTTATATTTTTAAGACACACACATTTTTAATGCAACCCTGCGAAAACTAAGGCAGTCAAGCAAGCCAGTCAATACAAACCTATCTGTAAGTTTTATCCATTTGCTGTCGAAACTGTGCTACTTATGAAAATATTTGCCGTTTTTAACATTATCCCCGTCTGCGTAGACTGTTCTATTCCTTCTTTGGACGGTGGACTGGATTTCAGTAAATCGAAATCATTTAAATCCTATCGCTTTTGAGCAGTATTGATCACATACATTCCGTTCAGCTGTTTTAACATTGGAATAGTTCGTCTTCAGTTACTGTTTTTACTTCTTCTAGTTCGGAGAAGCCACCATTCTGTTCCTAATCTTTCGCTTAAACCTTCGCTTTGGTCCTTCTCCAGATAGGCAAGAATAGTCCTACTCGCTATTGTACCGGATGGAGCGTAAATGTATTTACATCCTTCAGTTCAGCAAAATGCCATCTCGTGCTTGTTTTGTCTGCCCGATGAGTGCGTACGTAGCAGTTCAGTATCCTTGCACTATGCGGGATTTCGGTTATAAGTTTCCCGTTGGGAATCTGGAATGTAGTATGAAACTGCTGCGTACTATCAAGTTACTAATGTCAAGACTCTAACATCCTTACCAGTTTTCTTTGTTTTCATTTGCAATGGGTTTTATCCCCGTCCCGCTTGCGACCTTCTACTTTTGGATTTAGAGTTAGCAGTAAATATAAAATGAAAATTGTCTTTGGCACCCACGCTGTGGCGCTCTTATGGCAGGGGAACCTCATATAAAAGACGCATGTTCAATATGCGCAGCCTATTTTCGTAATACTCCACTAAGTGACTCTTACGACACGTTTTTATGTTGTGTCTCTGTGTATTTTTATCTATTTAGGCGCACTGTTTCGCAAGACGGTCTTATACGGATTATTAACTGTAAATTAGAACATTCGTACTTAAGTTTTTGTAAGATAGTCTTGCATCAAAAGATTTGTCGACTAAAACGGCCTCACTTACGATCTCCTCTCGAAAGCTCAGGCACATTCTCTCCAGCTACAGTCACTTTCTGAATTATCAGGTGTTGCTTTTAGCAGTGCTAATTCTTCCATTCTAGATTTCACGAACTTCTAATAGTCACCCCTATCGAAGGCCCTGAAGCTGAAATCATGTGTTCGTGTGTAAACCGATTCGCGAGCGAATAGTCAATAGGGTTTGGGAGGCAGTTGCAGGTGTTTTATTTGCACATCGGCGCGCAGTTGTTACCTCCCCTAAAACATTATGCAATTGTCTCTCCAACAAGGTAAAACCTAATCTATGATAACGACTACCTTCAACAACTAAGCAAAATGACAGCTGAATCGTCCAGTTATTACCTAATGCTCTGTTTGTTCAGTGGCAACTCTAACGGAGCAAATGTCAGAATGCGCTAACTCTCAATGCCTCAAAATCGTTCACGTACTGTTGACACAAATTTCCTCAACATACGATACCATCATTGCTAACTTGATACATAGCTAGAAAAAACGTTTCAAGAACACCTTAAGCGGAAGTTTTAGCGGTGCGTCCGCGGATGACAAGCTGAACTACCAAACATCGTGCTCTATAAACCACGGCAGTCATTCCTTCACCGAGGTTGTAATAAGCAAAACGTAACCGACTTGTTTATAGAACTGATATTTTAATTGTTCTTCAAACGCCGAAGGGACAGATGGAGTTTGGTTTTACAGTGTTCTACTTGAGGCATCCAAGTGTTCGGGTTTTCTCAAGATTGCTCGAAAGGTTATTTTTCAGATCTGGCGAACCCTTTGCGAACCAATGAAGCAAAGGAAAGGTACCAGGTCTCCATTAAGTTACTATCACCGTCGACACAACTTCGCTTGTTTCCGCTCATGTACTTAATAATAATCCTTGTAGAAGCAAGTCTGTGATGAATAATCCTCGACGGACGTCGAAACGTCAGGTGAATAAAAGTCTC